CTCCTTGTTTCCATTTTTGCCTTGCAAATGGAATATTTTCCGTTCGGTAGCCAAAGTGATCCTTTTAAAACTTTAGTTCAGATCATTTTATTTTTCTCCTTCAAAACCCTCATTTGGTTTCCTATCTCTCTAGGGCCAAACCAGTGATGTGGCATCATGTTACTCATTCATCACATTGCTTACGTTGTTCCCGCTTGCCCAATTTTCCTCGGTTTCATTCACCTCCTGTTATTTCTTGCATGTCAAGCAAGCTTCACCTCCCAGACACTGTGCTGGGCATGTCCTCTGTCTGAAAATTTATTCCCCCCACCTCTTACTCTAGACCTCCCCATAACTCTTTCTAATCCCCTTCATGTATTTATTTAAATTATCACCTTCTCACGAAAGCCTTTCTATCTACATTATTTAAAATTGCAATCCTCACAAATTTTAGGATTCTTTGTTCTATTTCTGTGAAAAACGTTGTTGGAACTTTGATAGGGATTGCATGGAATCTATAGATGGCTTTAGGAAGTATGGACATCTTAACTACGTTAATTCTTCCAATCCAAGAGCACGGAATATCTTTCCATTTCTTTGTGTCTTCTTCAATTTCTTTCAGAAATGTTTTATAGTTTTCGGTGTACAGATCTTTCACCTCTTTGGTTAAGTTTATTCCTAGGTATTTTATTCTTTTTGTTGCAGAAGTGGAGGTGTAGTGATGTACACCTTAAATTTTTACAATGTTGTAAACCAATGTTACTGCAATAAACAAAAAATAAAAAAAAAAGAAAAGAAAAGAAAATTGCAATCCTGTTCCTAACTCCTACTCCCTCTTTCATGAGGGGTTATTGCCTCCTTTGTTTTTTACTGTATTCCTAATTCCTAGAATACACAGCAGAAGCACAGTAAATAATATTTATAGTAATAAGAGCCAACTCATGTAGTGCTACTATTCTAGGTACTTCTAAGCAGGTTACATAAGTCAACTCATTTAATTGTCCCAAAAACCAATATGGAGAAAGAGGATTTCCTGTTATAATGATGTGAAGAGGTCGAGTTTTTCCTCTCCACAAAAAACAAGTATAAAATTGGAAAATATTAACAAAAAACAACTATCGCATCACACTGGAAAACAATCAAGGCAATACAACAATTTGAGAACCACTTATTCTTGAAAAATTGCTGGAGATGCAGGCAAGAACAGCAGAAACCTATGACCTTCTTGCCTGGAGCTACTGCCAACCTCCTTCACCCCCCACTGCCAACCCCAGCTTGAAAACGGCAGCAGAAATCAGCTTTGCTGCGGGAGGCGGTGGACTCAATTTGGGACTAGAGGAGAGGAAAGAAACTCTGGTTTCTCCAACATAAAGTGGTGGATTTAGTTTAGAATAAATGGTGGGAACCCACCACTTTGCAAGTCTGAGGGTGCGGAACAAGTTTGGGGTAACTGGTAGACCAGCAAGATGTAACAGAAAAATTCTAGCAATTAGAGAGCCATGGAAGGGCTGAGATAGCTCTCCACACATCCCTGGCTGACTGAGGAACTACGCATGCATGGAAGAGACCTTGAGAGAGTCTTCCTGCACTAGCTTGATTTTTCAAAACAATGTTAAAAAGCGGTTGACTCATATTCTTGAATTTCAACATGTTTTAAATTTTAATTATTAAATATAAAGTGTATTTTTTAAAACGTTTTTTAAATATCAGAGACAGTTATCTAAGGTTTTTGTGTTATTTGGTGGAAAGGTAAAGTTATTGATTCACTTTACTATTATCTACTATTGATTATGCATTTAAAATTTTCTAATTAATCATGAAAATAATTGGAATAGAGTGTAAATATTTCAAACAATAAAGGAAATAAATTGGAATAAAAAAACAACTCAAGCAGTAAAAAAGAAGGCAAGAAAAGTAGGAAAACAGAAATAGTAGATTAAGAATGTTCCTCTGAATTTTAAGAATTTTTATCATGAATCGACACTGAATTTTCTTGAATGTTCTCTCTACATCTCTTGGGATCTTACATTTTTCTCCTTTTCTCCTTAATATGGTGAGTTGCATTAATAGAATTTTTAAATGTAGAATCAAATTTGCACTTCTGGCATAAATCCGATGTGGTGGTAAATTCTGCAAACCCATGACTCCAGCAAAGGTAAGTAGATACCCTCAGGAGACATTCTGGCTCCCAAGTTTCCTTATCTCTTTGAATTTCTGTTTTATCTTTATTTGGACAGGTTCTGAGGGTGTCAATTTCTTGTTAACAGTATGTCACCCAGCAGTTTTAGTTGTTTTTACCATGCAATATTTCTTTAAGTTTATCTAGTTTGCTGTTGCTTTGGAAATGAAAACCAAGCATGTAATTTTATAAACAAGGAAAATTGGGCATTATTTGCTCTACTAAAAATGTGTGTACTCTACACAGATAGCCTTTGAGAATTGTATTATCAAAATGCTCTATGGTTTCAAAGCCAGACTGCCCGTGTTCAAATTTTAGTTCTACATTTTCTAACTGTAGGACTGAGTTATTATTGCTCAATTCCAGAGATGTAAATCAAGAACTTTATGCAGATCTAAAATTTACTGTCTGTGTGCAACAAAATATTCAATAGAGCTTAGTGCCAGAAAGTTCATCGGAAAGGGAGCAATTGCAGTCCCTCATCAAATTCTGACAACGGGTTTTCCTTCACAGGGATGAGTTGATGTTTGGGGTTCACTGTTGTTTATTTTAGTTGAAATTTTCTTAGAGGACAGTGTGTTTTGGTCAATTGAATTATTTGGATTCACTGAAGATAAAGACATCAACTCAACCTTTTCAAACGTTCTTGTAAGAGCTAAGACAGCATAATGGGAGGTGGTAGGGCGCAGTGAGAAACACCTTGGGTAAAGAACCAGAACAGCTTTGACTCTAGTGCTTAGAAGCTGGTTGAGCCTCAGTTTCCATGTGTATAAAATGAGGATAATAATTTCTACTCCAGAAGGTTGTTGTAGGAGAAATAGGACATTACATGTAAAACGCTTGTACACAGGAGGGACTTCAAAAATCTTGTTTCCCTCTTCTCTTCCCTTCATTGTTGAAAATCTAATCTATCTATTTGTTTTCCTTTCTGAACAACTATATTCAAAGTGGAGTTTAAGTATTCATTCATTCATTCAAAACTATATTCAGTAAATAATTTTAAAGCATCTATATCATGCTAGGGACATGCTAGGTTTGAAAAACTATAATAATAAGGTAGATATTGTTCTTGTTTTCAAAGAGTTTATACCCTAGTGATTTATGTCTTGTAGTGTTTCAGGGTGAGTATCTTGGGTATAATTTGTCCATATAGAGGGGTAATTCTAGTCACTTGAAGTCCCCAGTTAGACAGGCTTGACAATATTTTAGCACGGTCATCCGGGTCTTGTATTGTGCTACGTTCTTTATCTAGTGACAATAGTGTCTGTGCAATGGCCAGGACTGGCCACATAACTGCAGGGCCCAGTGCAAATAAAAGTGAGGCCCCTGGCTCAAAAATTATCACACATTTCAAGATGATGATAGTAGAACGTTTAATTAAGCACAGGGTCATTCTGAGTGTGGGGTCTGTGTGACTACACAGGTTATACCCCAGGAAGTGGCCCTAGTAATGGCTGAATAGAGCCACCAATGCCAGGAAACTCTATGTCCTTTCAACCAGATCAGACATATGTGGCTGGGAAAATACGAGTTACAGGGTCAGATGAAGGCATTAGATCGGTATTTCTGTTATTTTCTAATGGCAGAGGTGGAGGAATAATGTGACACCATCCAGGATTAATTAACTTTACTGAGCATTATACACCCAGCACTGTGCTAGGAACTGAGGACAGGAAAACACAGCGGACTGTGTCCCGACTTTGGTGGACCATATGTTCCCATGTGGAAGACAGACGATAAATAAGGAAAGGAATAAATAAATATCATTGATTATGGCCTGGGGATACCACTTTGAAGTGAATAAATTGGGCTCTAATAGGGAAAAATAGGACAGAGGATATAACCTTACTTTTAGTGGTAAGGAGGGCCTCTTTAGGGGGCTGCCTAGGGTGGGGTTTTTGGGCACTGCATTCAAAGAGAAAGAATGAATTCCGGCTCCTTCACTTACTAGATGTGGAATTTGGGGCAAATCACATAACTGTCCTCTGCCTCAGTTTCTTTATCTGTAAAGATCTGTCAGCGAAGAAGGAATCAGCCTTGCAGAGAGCTCCAAGAGGAGAATTCCTGGCTGAAGAAACAATCATTGCAAAGGCCCTGAAGTATTATAAGAAAGTCATTGCAAAGGCCCTGGGGTATTGTAAGCACCTGCCAGAAGGCCACTGTGTAGGAAATATAGAGCATGAGAGAGATAGGGCTATGAGACGGAGCATGAGGGGAGGCAGGGGCCAGATCTGGAATTTGAAAGTTAATTTCCTGCCTAAAGATAATGACTGATACTAATGCATATATCTTGTAAACCAAATGGACTAACTAACTTGGATCAGAAAATATGTCAGAAACAACTAGAGCTAGCTTCCCATTTGTTTTCTTTGGTGGCAGATCACAGATGATTTTTCCAACTCATGAATGAAACTGTCAGCCAAAGAAGTAACTCAGTAAAACTGAAAAAAACAGACACCCAGATCTCTGACACCGAGCGTTACATTCCTAATGCAACACAAAAGCCACTCGCAAAGCCTAAAACACAGGCTCAAAGACACCTCTAGAAATGAATAGGAGGTTATCATGCCACATAAAGTTTTGTCACCATTGTGTGGTCCCATCCTTCTTATCCACTTCACTGACATACTTCTGCAGCCCATGTGGCACAAACAGAGCAGAATCTCTTTTTATCTAACACATAAACCAACTTTCTTATGAATAGGCAGAGGGTAGCCAAATTCCAAATACTTCCAAGGGCTTGCATATTTTATAAAAGAAGAAATTTAGGGGAAGAAATCCAAAATCTCAGAGGAGGAGTTAAGACAGAGAGATGGCACTAAGGCTTCATAAACAAGTGTACCTTGTGCGGCTAACTCTTTCCACCTCTCTTTGTTCTGTTGTATGATATCCACCAGGTTGTTTTTGAAGCTCTTCAGGTCCACGCTGGCGAGGGAGTAGTCTGGGGAGTAGGTTCCATCGTTCACGGTGCCTTTCATATTTGATCGTCTAAACAAATCAGCAACATGTCATTCCATAAAGGCGCTTGAGCCAACAGTGACAATAAAGACACCAGAAAATACCAAGGTCGGGGGATGGGATGAGGGAGCAAAGCCTGAAACACTTTACAAAACCAACTGGAGAAGCAGGATGGCAGGTGCTCAGGCCCAGTTTTGAGCACGTGTCAATGTTCCTCCCCTAGTGGAGAGGGCCAGGGCTCTGTCTGGGACTCCTGGGTCGGTCAGGGACTCCCAGGACAGCACATCGGGGCCCACATGTATTACAGGGGGTGGGAGGCCTGATTCGATCAGCAGAACCTGGAGGTGAGCTGACTTAGCGGTGAGTCCGCTGGTGAACATCACAAAAGGGGCATCATGATTCTGGAGCCCCAAGTACGGTAATGGCACTCTCCCTTCCTCCTCTGTTGAGTCTCCAGACTAACCCGGATCTTTCTCAGGCAGACCATTCCCTCAGTTTCCTCATTAGGGCAACATTTAGGGAGCTTGTTGGTGTGCTATTAGGAAAAGTTGTGTGTTCAGATGGGCAAGAATTTAGCATGATTTTTCTGCAACTGGAAGTTTTATATAATACCCCTTAACAGATTTATCAATAAAAATATCTAGTTTGAAATATCGTAAGTGGTATGTATAATGGACTTTACTGTTACGTGTTATACAGATCCACTGTATTCACATCATCTAAAAGGCTCACTTTGATGTAGGCATCTTTCTAGCTATGCGAGTGGGAGGTGATTGATTTGTTGGTAAGCAAACCAACACAAAGCCCCTCTCCCGACTGTCGGCCACTACCAGATGTGTTACTATATCTGGGACACAATACACACCTCCTCAATGAAAATTCAAGTAATTTTATTCTCCTGAATATGGAATACTATTCTGTTATACTCCTTAGTACTTGGTTATTTTTTCAGCGGACACCAAGTTCTTAATTTCAAAGGCATATGCAATATAATATATAGCCACTAGGTGGCAATACTACCTAATAATAATTCTAAGAATTTCCTGCCTAGATCTGAGAAATAATAAGGACAATCATAAGTAAAAGGAAAATGATGCAAAAAAGAAAATATCAAACCTGTTTGCTCCATAGGAAGGATTTTCGGTTTTTGAGGCTTCCTCTATAAGAGGAATAATAATTTTCTCTGTTGAGTCAGTCAGAAGAGAAAATGTTGGCTCTACTATGAAATCAATGAAACCTACAAAAGCAAGAAAAAAAATAAATTCAAGTGTTACAATTTCCTGAATTCTAAAATTAGCAATAATCGGGGGCCGGCCCAGTGGTGCAGCAGTTAAGTGCGTGTACTCCACTTTGGCGGCCCCGGGTTCACAGGTTCGGATCCCAGGAGCGCACCGACGCACCGCTTGTCAAGCCATGCTGTGGCGGTGTCCCATAGAAAGTGGAAGAAGATGGGCACGGATGGTAGCCCAGGGCCAATCTTCCTCAGCCAAAAAGAGGAGGATTGGCATCGGATGTTAGCTCAGGGCTGATCTTCCTCACAAAAAATAAATAAATAAAAAATAAAATTAGCAATAATGAAGAGTCTCTGATGCTCCTGATAGCAAGTATCAGTCACAATATTGGTTCAGCTCATCCCTTGCAATTATTTTTAATCCAATAACACAATCTTTAGTGAGAGGGTCTGTGCTCTATAAAATAATCTCTCAGGCAGTGGAAGTGATACAATTTAAGCCCGCTAGCTCAAGTATATAGGGTTTCCTATTTAATATTTAGCCTCATATTATTATTAACAATAATTTCAGATCTAACCAGAGTGAATATATTTTCCTCTGTCAGTGAGGGATCACTACCCTTTCTGAAAGGTCTTCACTTGCTTGTTGAATTTTGTTATTGACCAACAAGAATATCTAAGCTCCCAAGAAACTAAATAATTGAAGTTTTTTTTCAGGCCACAGAGAGGCAACTACTTTTTTTTCCTCATGCTATATCAGTCAGAGTTTTCTGCCAGTGTGTGACTATTTCAAATTGCTGTTTATTATTCTCTAGATGTGAAGTGTTAGTTCGCAGCGTGTGGGCGTATTCTGTCAAACCAGTGAAGAGAATAGTAACATCTCTGGGAGACAGCATCAATCTCACCACTCTGAGATGTCAGGCTTGAATAAAGACTTTCACATTTAAAGTACTCTTCAAGATAGAAAGTGACACACAGAGAGAATGGGGCACTGTCCTCCAGGGAGCATTTACCACAAGTATTTAGGTGGAGAAGGAGATGACCTATTCTAAGCTCTGTGTACATTCAACACCAGGAGGTCCCAGGAGAGGTGTGGTGCGCAATATCAAGTGCTTGTTGCCTTATAAACATCTGGATATTTGTTGGATATCGATGGACCACCTTCTGAATATAAGAGAATAACTGGGGGAGGCTTTTTAAGTGACAGTGTCCCGGGAAATACCCCCATTTGAAGAGTATCCCATCCGTCAGATGTATGGATAAAGTAATTCAAATTTCATGTAACCGGATTTGTCATAGCGTACAACGCATGCATACCACAAATTAAGGCACATCTTTAATTCAAAAAACTTCAATCATTTTGTGTTATAATTGACACCTTCAAGTCAAAGCAATGTTAATTGGCCACCCAGGGTGCTATTTCAAGTTTTGTCTGTGGTTTTAAATGCTTGGGATATGCAGACTTTCAAATGAGGCATCACCTCTACTAACATGGCAGCAATTTATACCACAGCAACAAGTCTCAGAAACTTCCATTCTTCCCAACATGCCAGGGGAGGTCCTTAGCCTGCCACATTCACACCTGCTAAACGATGATAGGCACCTGTGTTATAGTACCTAGAAAAACAGCTATTGGAACGTGGGTAGGAAGGAGGAAAGGTCAGAGCAAGAAGCTTTCTGACAGCTGACCACCACTTTGTAGGAGGTGGTATAGGAGCAAGTAGAGAGGTAAGGTGGCCACTTTCATGTTTACTGATCATATACTTCAATAATGAAGATGCTGGCTCAGGGAATAACTATTACAAATATTTGAACCATGCAGCACAGCAATAATGTTTTAATAATGGGCTGAACTTGAAATCCCCAACACAAATACAAGAGAAAAGAATGAATATGGTTGAGAGCACTATCATTTTACAAATTTACTATTGTTGGCTTATCTATTAATGTCAAGAATTTTTTTCCCAAAAGAACATGAGCTAGCATATTATGCAAACAGTGATAACAGAACAGATGTATTAATATTTTCATCGAATTGTCTTATATACAAAGGATTAAATTACAGAAAATAATCAGCAACGAAACAACAAAAAATACCATCTCTTGCACAAGAAGAAAACCCTCTATTTTGTGAAAGGATCACAAACAGAATAACAATTACATTCACCAACACTGCTTTGTTGACTTCATTTTGTGACAATGTTTCAAAATTCTTATCATTCACCACCACATGGATCAAAAGTATCATGAACACCCAGTGAGGTTTTCATGGACGTTGCCCCTTTGAAGAACACGGTGGATCCATCTGAAAACTGACAAGCACACACCCACTCTCCAGGACCACGGATCTTCAGTATTACCTATTTGTGACTGGGCCACCATCGTTGACTTCCGATCACAAAGTGGGGAAAATGGGAGCCCTAATTCAGCTTCTTTATCTCCCTGCAGAAAGGAAAGCTCATTAGTACAGACTTGGTTTGGAGAAGCTCAGATAATGAGCAGCCTAGTTAAAAGCCGCACATTTCATTTCTTAATTGTTATTGTATATTTATTTATTTTTTATAAAACCAAAAGCTGTAGTCTGAGTTTATGTAATTTGACTCAGATAGTCTCTCTTTGGGGACCTATTGCAGAGGGAAAAAACACGAACATTTTCAGCACCTAGACTCTGCTTTGATATTACAACCCCTTGATTGTAGAGAGACAAAATTCTGCTCTCTGGAATTTTCTCAAGTCCCCATAAAATTGTCATCTCAGTGTGTTATTTGGCATTTAATTAACAATCCAGCTCACGGATTTTTCTGCTCTTTTTTTTTTTTTTTTTTTTATGCCAAATACAACAGCAGATCTTCAGTATCAAGACTTCCTCATTGGACTGCTTTTTGAAATTACAAGTATATGAGCATTTTGAAACATCTTTTTACTTATTAACCAAGTATTATTGAATCTCCCACAGCAAGAAATGAGGAATACCTTCAACATTCTCACATTCTGTGTGAATAATTTTATTTTAATGTATTCATTTTAGAGAAAATTGAAATGTCAATGATTTTTTATCATTTAATTTTATCGATGGTAGATTAATTGAGCACATATGTTAAAGCATTCTATTGATGTTTGGGTTTAACATCATAAGAGCTAATTAGATTTTCCTCTTCTAAAACAAAGTTGGCTATTCTGGGCAAAGCTTTATTACCAAGGTTTATCAAACATTGGTTCTTTGCATTCAGGGGGATGTGCTTACAAAAGAAAGGAGAGATGATACTTCACTTGCTCCATTCGCTCCAATTGTCTGGCCATTTGAAAGAATGCTCTGGGCTTTATTTTCTCCTAAGCTATTGGTTGTACACCTTTATAGGGTACACTGGCCTTGCATAAGGCCACAACTTAGGATGTATGGTCGGGTTCTGAAATCAGGGGACAAAAGGGAGGGGCCTTCACTTTTGCTTTGTGGCGAAGCCCATGTTTCAATGTAACACCTGTCTGAGGATTTCACAGTTTCTTCAGTCAGCTTCCTCTGACATCTTTTCACCAGGATCTTTACAACATTATGTCAATAGTTGGCTTTAAAGTTTTTATTGGCAATGTTTTCTGGTTCATTTCCCCTAAACCATGCCTCTGATTATGAGGGGCAGAAAGTTTGAAATCAGAGTTGTTTGGGAAAATCTAGATACGGTCACCAAAGAAATAGACAAAGTAGCTACAAACAGGAATGTTTTGCTATGTCATGATTTAGAGAAAATGGGGAATAAGAATTCCTGTGACCTCTCCCAGCAACCTTCCTCATTCCCCTAGAGAATAACAACATTCATTCCATTTGGAATTAATATTTATACCCGGCTTAAAGGACAGATGAAGGGGAATTATTAGTGCCATTAGCCGTGAGTCATAAGACACTGAGTTGAGTTGCATCACTGCCGTTCAATAGGCTGTCTCTGTTACTTCAGACACATCACAGCCTTGTTGAAATGAGTTCTCCTCATCTGTTACCTAACTCGGAGATTTCAGTTTACTCATTTTAGGAATAAAGATATAATAATATCTACTTAATAGGATTATCCTGAGGTTATCTAAGATAATTTATGTGAGGTCTAAGGACAATATTCAGTAAATAGTCATTAAATATTAGCTAATAAGAAGTATAATTTTTAATAGCAAAAATACAGAGCTTTGCAAATTAAAGGTATTTACGATGTCTAATGCATATCTTGGATGGTGTTAAACCACAAAGAAAAGAATTAGTAGTTAATTTAGCATGTAATGGAAACTCATTGGCTTTTTTCCCTCTTTTTTCTAGCAAGCAATTGACATGGCAGGAATTCCACTTTTGAAAGATTAATTTGTCATCGGTGTGGGGAATGGCATGGGGTGAGTTAAGGATGACTGTTGGGCTTCAAACCTAAATGAAGAGAGTCTTTAGAGCCACTAATAGAAATCAGACGATCTGGATGAGGGCTAGATTTAAAGATTATTGTGGATTTGATTTTTAACTTGCGGAGAATAAGGTGCAAGAATATCATTGAAAGTTTACATTAAACTATAAATAATATTGCTATTGATAAAATAAAAATAAAGCTACTCATCGACTTCATGGGAAATGTGATATTGGGGATACTTATTTAATATATACAGATTCAACTGATTGGTTTTATTGGTCAAGGGGCTGCTATCTGGTATTTTAATAGGTATATTTTTATACTATAGAAATTCTTTGAGCTAAAAATGATCATTTGGACCTGAAAAAGGCGTTGTGATGATTTATATTCTATGAGCTAAATTTCATTGAATGCTGGATGCCACATTTTCATGTAGGACTTAGGCATTTGACAGATATATGCAGCGTCGACCTTCCTACAGATGGAGTGAGAGATTTTATATTCTACTTGCTTCTTGTACTCCACAATTGATTTAGACTATTAAATTGCACTGCTAAAGCACATTGAATGCTAAAGTGCATTAATTATTTAATTTATTTATAAATATTTCAAAGTGCTATTTATTCTTTACGGTGAATAAAGGCCATGAGTGCAAGATTAGTAAGGGGTCCCCTGTAGCCAGACTCTGAAGGGACCAGAAACCCAGTAGAACAAGGAGGGTACTACTAAGGGAGAGGGACAGATACACAAAAGGAGAGTCAGGAGCATTGAGTGTTGAGTTTGACAAACTTAACAATTTTCCTTACTCTGTCCCTGAATAGGGAACATTTATTTTCCATCAAGATGAAATCAGGGGTCAAAAGCAATAGATATTGTGTAAGTCAACTAGTTTATATTGTTCTTGGAGGCTGTGCATTCGTATGAAGATGCTGCCTTCAGGAGGCCAAAAATATACTTTTAAAAATAAATAACTTACTGAACACACATATGTCCTGGTGTATTGAAACATACAAGTGGTTGGAGCAAAATTATAGGGCCCTAAGGCCACTAAACTCAATTAGTTAGCCAACCACTCAGTTATGCCCCTGGATCTTGGCGTCTGTTCTTGGGGATGAGCCTGCAGATGGGAGAGTGGAGAAAGTGGCTCCATCAACATGGAAACACAGGCAGCCTGGTGTGCTCAGGCCTGATATGCCTGTCCTAGCAATTCTCTCAGAGACTATTGAGTTTTCTTCTCTGCAAGGCCATGACAAAGACTTAGTAATTGTTTTTACACTTTCCTAACAGAGTGAAATGCTCGGATAGCTGTCAACAAGGTGTCAAATCCAGTGATTTAATGGCACTTTTTTTCTTTTTTGCGTTTTCTCTGAAGCCAAAACAGTTTCTATAGTTTTAAAGAAGTGAAGAAGATAGGAAAGGGTGAAGTACAGAATCCTTGAGAAACCCCTTGCATTGAAACCTCAGTTTTAATCACAGAAGCAACATCAACAGCAAACACACAGGAAGCTCCTGACCACGGGCCTGGGGCGGCTATAGGGCCAATGGGAGAACTGAAGGAATCACTAGTTCTATAGGGGAATTTAACTGGGGGAGGAGGGCAAGAGGCACTAGCTTGGCCTTCTTTGGACAACTTATTAAGGCATTTAGACCATCTAATTACCTTCCTTCATTCCGTCTAAAAATGGGCCCTTCTAAATTCTAAGAAAGCCACCAAGACTGTTTAAATATTTAATGAGTGTTATAGCTAACATACTCACTTTCAGTAAAATTTCTGATATAGTATAATTGTATTTTTGTGAGTGTTATAAATATTTTATAGAAAATCAGTACCCCTTGTGTAATCAATGTTTACAATACTTTAATGCGTCTTAAAACTATAAGCTTTGATTTTTTACATTTTAAGTTATTATCCTGGCTCATAGCTATGGTTCTTTGCATCTATGAAGTGTTTTTGGTTGTATCTATGATTTACAATGTTAGATCCTTGGCTGAGAATGTACTAACTAAATACATTTTTATTACTAGGGGAAATACAGTTTATCTTGAAATAACACACTTATACTACTTCTAGCAATATTGAAGAAAATAGAGGGGCCTGACTAGATACAATTTAGGGTAAAATAACCATTTTGACCTTCCTTTCCAAATAACTTGCATTTCTAATTATTTGTTTTTCCTTGGCTGACAAAGTAATACCTATTGGTAAATGTAGATTTTGCTCAGATCTAGATTTTTTTTTCATGTATTACAAAACAACTAGTTGAAGAAGGGAAAAATTCACTTTGTTATTAGATTCACACAGTATAAAATATGAACACATTTTAACAGAAGTGACTATTTTTTTAAAATTTCATTGTATTACCTTCTTTTATGTTGCTAACCTAACATGTTCACAGAGGGAATAAGAAGCAAAAACCTGTCTTCCTTTAACTAATGGTTACTTTCTGGGCTGGTACCTCCATCTCTGATCCCTCAGTCCTATCAGTCACAGCTGAAATGAATGGAGCATCTTCCAAATCCACCCATGACAGTCAGCGGGCAGAGGCAACTGTGTTGACCTGTGTGAACACTTGAAGATAGAGTGTTAACTGTACTGATGACTATCACAAGCGTGCTCTGAAACATGCCTTGGAGATGAGGACTGGCTTTACCTCCTTATCATCAGCTGCTTACTCAAGAGTCAGAAATAAGCGTTTCTCAAGACTGCAAATTCTAGATACAATTCTAATCTCTGCTAGATACAAGTTCCCATGGCTTCAGAAGGTGCACCTAAAGTAGTTACACCAAGGGTTAGGGTAACATTGATGAGATTTTTAAGGATGATACAAATAGCTTGGTCTACATCAGTTTGTCCTCCAGAAATATATCGTGTTGTAAAAATTCAGTGTCTGTTTAAGCCCATTTGTTAGATAAAATGAACTTGGTATACAAATTAATAAGAAATTGATTCAGAAGTCAACACATCCCCAAAATTCCTCTGAAACATTAATTCATATATGTAGATATACAAATACATCTATACATATATGTATAACATGTGTATATATTTATGCACATACACACAGG